GGGGAAACTGAGGCAGAGAGAGAGAAAAGTTAGTTGCTTAAAGTCAGTAAACTGAAGCAGGTGAAGGATTCAGAGGGGCCCTCAAGGTAGCCTGAACAGAACACTGGTAAAAAGAAACCAAACCAAACCCACTGTCTCTCATTGTCCCCTCTGTCCCCGGAGCCTGAAGCAGCCAGTCTCCCTGACCCCGCCTTCTTCCCTTCTTACAGCTTCCCCTCCTGACATCCCAGCCCTATACCCACTCAACCTGAGGCTGGCAGAGAGTTCTAGACAGGCTCCACAGTGCCACCGAGGCCTGACTATGCCACCCGGGGGACAGCTAGTCTCTGGGTCCCTATTTTGATGACTTGTTCACTCTTTATCCTCTCTGGGGATTTTTGACCCAAAACAATGGATGTCCTGGCAATCCGGCAACCAGGAAGGAAATTTAAGCCCCAGGGACTCCCCAGGGACTTAGTTGGTGAAGTGCTTATCTAGCATGTATGAAGCTCTGGGTTCCATCCCCAGCACTGCATAAACCAGATGTGATGATGCACATCTGTAATCCCAGTACTTAGGAGGTATAGGCCAGAGGATCAGAAGTTCAAGGTCATTCTCCACTAGATACCGAGGTTAAGGCCAGCTACATGTACAAAACCCTGTGGGAAACTAAAAACTGAGTGTCCCTGGCTGAGCTCCTCCTTGGCCAAGGCTTGCCCTAAGGGTGTTAGGTAACATATGGACTGTGGGGAGCCAGCCCCCACATTTATTTACCCCAGGGACTCTTGAGGCATGAGGGATAAGAGACTTAGTTGGAAATAAAGAAGGGAGAGAGAGAGAGAGAAAAGCAGGATAGACTCGGTGGGCCTGGATCCTAATCCATTGGGCCAGAACTTTATTCCAAAGGGCTTTGCATGGCAATGCCAAGGGGAGGAGCAAAGACCTCCCCTTTGCTCAATACAGCCAAGTGTAGACCCTGCCAAACACCTGGTACTCGGCCCGTGGTCCGGTCATCCTCTTTTGCAGCCCTGCTGGGCAAAGTCACCAGGAGACCTAAGTGAGCTCCAACAACCACCACAGAAAGGGAGAAAAGCAAAGGACAGGACAGTGCAGGAGGCTGGGTGACCGACCACACAGGATATGTGCAAGGCTCCAGGAAGACAAAAAAAAAAAAGTAAGAAAAGGCCATGGATGGTGCAGAGGCTGGGGGAGATGATGAACCGAGTCGCGGGCAGCAAGGCTTCCCTTTTCTATATCTTGATTTTGAGCCATAGCAATGTAGCAAGGATTAAAGACTAAAAGCTTTAACAAATGAGGTAAAAGAGTAAACAAGAATAATAACTACATGTACCTCCATAACGACAGGTGTGTAGCCAAGATTGTGATGCCCGTCCTGGGAATTAGCTCCATGTCATTTCATCCTTGACCTGGAGGCCAACATGATGTTGCCAATAATAACAGCAATAGGCATTGGTACCTGGAACTGGAGCTGTCTACAAACTGGACACAGAGCCAGGTGTGGTATAAACATCACCCATGAGTCAGCGTTCTAACTTGGTGAGGAGGTTATCCCTGACCCACCTAAGATAGGGAAACTGAGTCTCACCATAGGTTTGACTTGTACATCGTCAAACCTGGACCCACATTAAAGCATTTCAAGCTCTCCCTGGCCCCACAAAAGTTCTGAATTATGGCCTTTCTCTGGGAATTTCCGACACCTAGCACCATGCATCTGACTCCAAGATAATTGTTTTGAGATAGAGTGTGACTACATAGCTCAGGTTGGCCTAGAACTCCTGATCCTCTTGTGTGTGTGCTACCTTGCCTGCCTGGCTATCCAACCCCAAGATTTGCCTGTTGGTTTGTGATAGGACTTGGGAATCATTGTTGTATCCCCTCTTTTATTCTCTGTGTGGTGCTGGGGATGGAACTCGGGGCCCATTACATGCTAGACAAGCATGCTACCACAGGGCACAAGCCCTTTAAAACCCAGGGTAGAAAACCCTTTACAATCTCAAGGGAACTGGATGGTGGTGGCTCACGCCTTTAATCATAGCGCTTGGGAGGCAGAAGCAGACTGATCTCTGTGAGTTCAAGGCCAGCCTGGTCTACAAAGTGAGTTCCTGGACAGCTAGGGCTACACAGAGAAACCCTGTCTCGAAAACGAAACAATCTCAAGTGGTTCCATTTCATTATCCAGACTGAAATTCTGCTTGGTTTTCCAAATGAGTAACCAAGAGCAAGGAGAGAAATGACCTTTCCAGGGCTACACACAGTTGAAAAAAAAAAAAGCTGGGACAAGGCATTCGATGGCTTTCATGGAACCTTTGTTCAAATAAGAAATGGAGGGGCTGGAGAGATGGCTCAGTGGTTAAGGACATTGGCTGTTCTTCCAGAGGACCCAGGTTCAATTCCCAGCACCCACATGGCAGCTCACAACTGTCTGTAACTCCAGCTCCAGTGGATCTGACACCCTCACACAGATACACATACGGGCAAAATACCAATGCATATGAAATAAATTATTTTATAAAAAAAAAAAA